CTCCCACTTCTTATCCCTCTCTCTCACCTACCAGTTGAGGCAGGACCAAGATCCTCTCCTCTGCATCAAGGTTTAGCAAGGCATCCTACCCTAAGGAATGGGCTTCAAAAAGCCCGCTAAAGCACTAGAAATAGATCATGGCTCCACTACCCCTCAAATAGTATTTGAGGGACCCCTCAAATAGACCAAAGCTTCACAACTGTTGCCCACATTCAGAGGGCCTAGTTCTGTCCCGTATAGGCCCCACAGTTGTCAGTCCAGAGTCATTGAGATCCCACAAGCTTTAGAAAGACATCTCTATGTGTTTCTCCATCATGATCTTGATCTCCCTTGCTCATATAATCCATCCTTCTGGTGCGGGAGAATTGTCTGTATTCTGTCAATCATGTTTTAAATAAATGCTGATTGGCCAGGCGGGAAGTATAGGCGGGAAAACCAGGCAGGAAGTAGAGGTGATGCAATGAGAACAGGAGAATTCTGGGGAGCAGGAAGCTCCCTCCACCATTCCTGCCCAGATCACCAAAGCAGCTGGATGTGAGCTGCCCCATTGAAAAAGGTACTGAGCTACATGGCTAAAAATAGATCAGAATAATGGGTTAATCAAGATGTGAGAGTTAGTCAGTAAGAGGCTAGAGATAATGGGCCAATCAGCTTTATAACTTATAGAGATTTGTGTGATTGATCTTTCTCTGGGACTAAATAGCTGGGGGGCCGGCCAGGACAGAAAACCCCAACAAACAAGCAGCCCCCCCTGCCATGTTACATCCTTCTTCTATTCAACTGGACTCACAGAGCTCAGCCCAGTGCTTGGATATGGCTCTCTGTATCTGCTTCCATCAGTTACTAGATGAAGGCTCTATGACAACAATTAGGATTACAGGGGAATAATAAGCCAAGTAGAGTTAAACTGTGCTGGGGGAATATAGAGGAGGATAAAAGATGGAATATGGGAGAATAAATAACATTAAATACCTTTCAAAACAGACATATGGAAATCTATGACATTAAAGGCTTCCAAATATATAGATAGAGAAAAATATACACATACATAGTAAATGGAATTAACACAGGGCAGCAATGACTATTAGACAATCGTAAAACATGATGAAAATAGGCTGGATCAAACCTAGATGCTACATTTTCTTTTATAATGCTAGAAGATATCATATAGCTACTGAAGGAGAAAATAATCATCAATTATTCCTAGTTGTGAAACCTGTGAGTTATAATAATTACTGGCTTGGCAAGACACACCTACTGGTACAATAGTAGCATTAACATCATAAGAGTTACCAATCGAAAGTCAGTGGAGATTTAATTATCACTGAAAAAGATGAAACCTATAACTGGCACCATTATTAGTCTAAGAACTAATAGGCAAGTAATAGGCTGAAGGAAATGACTTACTACTATTATTTTGATAAATGAAAAAATATTTTGAATGGACTCCAATGATTTATTATAATACTTATAGACCAAAGCATTTTTAACCACAATCAAGAAGCTTCAATTGGCACTAGATACTGAGTGTGGTTGTTGGATAAGGTATGGCCTCCATAGACTCATATATTAGAATACTTGATCCACACTTGGTGGAATTATTTGAGAAGGATTAGGAGGTATGGTATTGTTGGAGGAGGTGTGTCGCTGGGGGCTTGTTTTGAAATAAAATAATTCACCCAATTCTCAGTTTGCTTTCTTGACCTGCTATTTATGAAATAAGATGTGAGTCCTCAAATGTTCCTGCTGTCATGTCTTTGATCAGCTATCATAAACTCTAACCCTCTGAAAGTATATACACGATTAAATGGTTCATTTATTAGTTGTGTTGGCCATGGTGTCTTTGTACAGTAATAGAAAAACAACTAAGACAATGATAAACACAGAGACACATAGTTGCTCAAGTTGAGAGATTAAGATACTAGAGAAACCTCAAGCCCAAAGTAACATGTATACCTTACCACTCCTCACAAGGCTAGAGATTAGTACATAGTACGGGGAGGGGGTAGAATGAGAGCCAGAGACAGTGGATGACTACAAGGAAACATTTAGACATAGCAGGGCATCTGCACAAATGAACTCACAGTGACTGCAATAGCCTGCAGAAAACCTTTACAAACTGAATACATGAAATCACAGCACAGAGGGGGAAATTTAGCATGCAGTCCTACCCCCAACAATGAAGCTATTGGCAATTGATAGCTGATGGGAAAGGGAGAATCAGTCTCTAGTAGTTGGACCACAATGCAATGAAAGAAGATGCATCCAAGAATATGTGGGCATCACAAATTGGTCTCACTGAGTCAAGAAAAAGACACAAACCTGGGTGGGTAGGAAAAGAGGACTAACACAGGAAAGAGTTGGGTCAGAGAAGTGAATATGACCAAAACCCGTTATTTGGCATCCTTAAAAAAACAAAAATTAAAATAATTTTGTAGTTAAAAATATGGTATTCTGCCCATCCTTTAAGTACAACTCTTACCCAACATATGAACATGAAGGCTCTGGGAACCAGTCTTTTGTAAACAACTACTCCTGGAGATAGTGCAGTCACCCTAACAAATTTGAAAACCAGTTTAAATGTTACCTCTTCATTGGAATCTTTGTGTGGTTGTATTAATCAAGATACATTTCTTCTTGTTTCTATATTTTTCATAGTACTTTATTTTACTGTTTCCTTACTGCCATATACTTCAAATTAGAGTCACTTGTATACTGATTTACCTTTTTATACCTCCTATTCTAAACTATAATGAAATTCAGGGATTATTATTTTCTCTTTTTAGAGAAAAAAATTGACCTTTCATTGCTAAAATATCATACATTGTTAAGTCAATATGAAAACTATAATCTCAAAGAATTAATTAAACAAAAAGTATACCTAGTGACACTTGTTGTTTATGAAAAGCCTGTTATTTGCTAGGTGCTTCGTGTTATTATAATTCTATGCATCAAAACATGAAATTACTATTAGCTTAATTTTTTTATTACTAATTCTGACTTTATGCTATCATGTAAAAGAAAATTTAGTGTAGATTCCTCACTGACAATTTATAGCCCACATAATGAATATTATTACTGAACTAAGTATATTTTGTTTGTCTGATAGTATCCAGTACCTTCCATGTAAATAAAAGCTTAATTATTGTCTAAAACCAAACTTTCCTTTGGGTTATATATTCCATTTACCAGTTCTATTTAAACCATGAACATTCAGGAAGACTATGACCATAACTAGTAATTAGATCATAAATTTTGCTGAGTCTGATCTCCCTTGTCAAGATCATGTACTTATTTTTCTTCCTGGAAGGCACTAAAATAAACTAAAGTAGAAAAATGAGAACTCTAGCCCAGTCCTTGATCTCATTTCAAATCCTGAGATAGGAAAACTAAAGACATAAAAGATATATTTGTCACTCAGAGTAGAACAATATGTCACATAAAATTCTTAAAATAAATTTATATTTGTAATGTAAACTTTTAAAAGTATAATTTATTATTTTTTAGTTTATCAAGTATTTTGGTTATGCAGGTTATAAAAACTCTAAAACTTATTACTTGATATTTATTGTTTTAAATTATTCATTCATAACAACATTAAATTTCAAAAGTATTTTTTCTAAAGCTGATTACATTTAAGATAATTTATGTTTGAATTTCAGCACGAGCTTATAGGCCCTGAAACACAAAAGCTCATAGCTCTTTTCTTGTATCCTAATTTTAATATATTTTAGTCTAATGACAAGATCAAGACAAAGTCTTTTTATAACACAGTGTTGATGACAAGATAGAATCCTAAAAAGATCAAGTCTTTGGACTGAGTCAAATATAAGAGCAAACTTTAAGGCAGATATTCAATAGTTTTATGATTTGGGAAAACAAACTTTTCTGTACTCCTGCTTCTTTATTTTTAAATATTTGAACAACCTTCCCACTGTATTTTGAAAAGAATTATAAGACCCAGCATTCTAGATAATCAGAAACAATAAAATATGAATTTTCAAATTATTTCCTGTTAAACTGCAACAATGTTATATAGAAGGAAAATACCACTTGCTGAAAGAAGTTCTAAGTCTATAATTCACCAAGAAATTGAAAGTTTTTGTGAGAAAAATCAGATTCATTTTACATACTATTTTAATTAAATCATTTCCCACCTTAAGACAATTTTCCATTTCCCTTGAAAATAAATTCATAACATTCTGCTTACATATAGTAGCCTAGAAGTAAAAAGATAAACCTACTCATCTACCTGCTTCATTATTTTTAGTTTAATTGTAGAGTTAGTTTTGGAGCCATGGTTCCTGGAACCAAAATTTGTTGCCTCAATTGTTATTTTTCTCTAAAACTAAATCTTAGTCATTAATTTGCTCATCTATTTATCAACATATGCTGATAGTTGCCATCACATAATTTGAAACTGTCAGAGTACTATCTTATGGTAATGGCTAAGACACAGTTATCATAGGATAAAGGATAAAAATAAAAACATGAGATGAGAAAACATGTGACTATACAAGTATCTTTTTTTCTCTTTCTCTCTCTCTCTTCTGTCTTTCCTTCTTTTCCAGCTCTCTCTTGTGCTGCTTTTCAACTTGGCATGGTCAACAATTCTTTGAGTCCAAAAGACAGGGAGTGCAACAACTAATATTATAAGAATTAGAACTAAATTGCATCACAGAAAAACAGTAGAAAGATGGCAGGCAGGATGGATAAGGGAGAAGAATGGAATGGATTTAAGGTCAACTTGGGCTGTGTAGGAAAACCTTATCTCACAAAGAAAAACAGAAATTTCTAAATGTTTATGAAATGTGAATCTGAGGTTATAACCTGCAATAGTTTTCTTGTCTGAGTATACACATTGCACTTAAGCTAAAGATTCTTTCCACACTATTTATAATTAAAGTACAGATAATATTCTTGGTTCATTGTTTCTCCTCTGTTATATTCTATAATAAAACAGTAAGTGTTGCCTTTTGGTAACTGCTGAAGAATCTCACCTGTGTTAGAATTAAGGTCATCTGGCTCTGACTCAGTCCCATTTTGGCTTCCATTTCCCTGAAGAGTATTCATTGCCATAAGCTTCATCTTCTGGAGCTTCATTGCCTCAGCCATTGCTGCAGCTGTTATACCTAAATCAGAACCATCAATTTAAAAAGGGGAATTATTCCTTAATGACAGCAAAATATGTGCAGTTATTTAACAAGAATATCCCGCATGATGCAAGCAGAAAAGTAAATCACAAGTAAGTAATGAAAAATGAAAATTCAAAAATGCATTTTCAACTCATAATGACTTACAACAAAGAGCGTGAAAATATAATTTAAAGACTTTAAAATATAGATCTGATTTGCAAGTTAAAAGAAACAAATAACTAAATAGGTCAAATATTGCAATTATTTACTTGATTTTAAGTAAATAATTATTAACTACAAGAAGGGAAAACAATCTAAGACTTAATATATGTGTGTGCAAACATGAAATTGAGAATATTTGTGAACAAGACTCTTCACATATTTGCAATTTATTGATGGTGTTGAAGAATTGTCTGTATTCTGTCAATCATGTTTTAAATAAACGCTGATTGGCCAGGCAGGAGGTGTAGGTGGGAAAACCAGACAGGAAGTGGAAATGATGCAAGGAAAGCAGGAGAATTCTGGGGAGGAGGAAGTTGATTCCTCCCACTCCTGCCCAGATCACCGAAGCAGTAGAATGTGAGCTGCCCCACTGAAAAAGGGGCACATGGCTAACATAGTTCAGAAAAATGGGTTAATCAAGATGTGAGCATTAGCTAATAAGAAGCCTGACCTAAAGGGCCAATCAGCTTTATAACTTACGGAGTCCTCTGTGTTATTTTCTTTGGGGCTAAACAGCTGGGGGAACTGGGAAGGACAGAAAACCCCCCCCAACAAGCAGGCCCAGCCTTTCATGTTACAGTTGACACAATGAAAAGTTTCAATATTTAAGTGACTGTCTAAGCAAATACCATCTGTATGCTGTGCAAGGGAATATCAGGGAGCAGACTTTGAATGTACTATTAACCTGCTGAAGAATCATGTCATAATAGTGCTAGAAGGAAATTGAAAAGATAGCAGTTGGATAAGGTCACTTGTTTCTTCCTGGCCGCCCGGCTACCTTAGACCTGAAACAATCACCAGGAAACTGTATTATTTAAATCACTGTTTGGCCAACTAGCTCTAGAATTTTAATGACTAACTCTTACATATTAATGTATCTCTATTAATCTGTGTATCACCACGTGGCGGTGGCTTACTGACAAAGTTTCGTCATGTCTGACTCTGGTGGTGACTCCACAGCTTCTCTCTGACTCTGTCCTTCTTTCTCCCAGTATTCAGCTTAGCTTTCCCTGCCTACATAAGTTCTGCCTTGCTATAGGTCCAAAGTAATTTCTTCATTAATGGGAATCATAGCACACAAAGGGGATAACATGTTCAATTTCTTCATTTAACGAAAAAAAAAGAGTAAACCTTTATAGTTCAGTTAAATACATAAATATAGGTGACAAAGAACCACATTTCTTAATTGAATTTACAGATATTAAAGTTCCAAAACAGCTCTAATGTGAATGAATGAAAATCATTAAGTGTTAACTTCCTTCTGCCACATTCACTCATACGTTGCTGGCTCCCATTTTAGAGCTTCTTTCATTTGACTCAAAGTTTAGAGATATAGCATGTATCTCCTATGCTCTTGCTTAGCTTATGATCTTCATTACAATAACTTTATACTCATAAATCATGAAATCTTGTTGAGTCTCTAGAAAAGCTGGAGTCCTCAAGTGTCAACTTAGTTCTTTTCAACAAGTTGTTTATAATAGGGTACATTTAAGAAAAGAGATAAATGGATTCCCTTAAATAGATTCCCTCAGTGTAGCCTTGAAGATAAAATTCAGATGAAGTAGTAACAAAGTTAATTTGAGAATAATAAATTTTACTTAGATAGAATTTCAGCATAGAAATTTCAGCATAGAAAAGAGAATAAGGAAAGAAAGATCATTTTAAAAGTGAAAGCGTTATAATTACAGTTAACTACACAGACATATTTCTTTGACAAACTTTGTTGTTTTAGACATGTTTTCTCAGATCAGATCTGTTATGGGCTTTCAAATATATGTATGTAAAATTATATATATATATATATATATATATATATATATATATATAGTAAGTGGACTATTGATCTGAAGAAAAAGTTCACAAAAGAAAATATAAAAATGACTAAGAAATTTCTCAGAATATGTTCATCATCTTTAGCAATTAAGGAAATGGAAGATCAAGCAACTTTGAGAATTCATTTTACCCTCGTGAAACAGAAGTTCTTGGGTTTGTGGCAGCTACAAACTCACTCTTCTTAAAATGTTGAAATTCTACTTACTTCCAAACTGAAAGCTCCTTTTTGCTTTTTTCTTCCTTTCTTCCTTCCTTCCTTCCACCCTTCCTTCCTCCCTTTCTTTAATTAATTCATTTATTTATATCCTAACCTTATTTTCCTCTTTCTTCTCTTCCCACTAACCCCCAAACTCCCTTCTTCCCCTCTCTATCTTTTTCTCCTTCATTATTATTCAGAAATCATTAAGCCTCCAAAGTACTAAAAGAGACTATTGGAAAGTGTGGGGGGATTTCAGGGAGACAGGTAGAAGCCTCGAGCAAGGGAAACTCCCAGGAATTTACAAGGATGACCCCAGTGATGACTCCAAGCAATAGGACTACAAGCCTGAAAGGGACATCTCCTGTGACCAGGCAAGACTTCCAGTGAAGAGACTGGGACATCAACCCAACCATATAACAAACAACATACAGTCTGTCCTGCCTCTGGGATGTGCTGGGATAAGAGCGGCCAACCAATGACTATTCCAATATCAGAACTTGCTGGGAGTGCAAACCAACTTCTGAGACTGCCTAGAGCACCAAGACCCAGAGTCTGGATGACCCAGAGACCTAGGAGAGAAACAAAGTTGACTGGAGAAAAAAAAATGTCAAGATGATGGTAACTAATGATATTCTGCTGTAGTCCTGCATTGGTTCCTAAACCAGTTGTCATCAGAGAGACTTCAGCAACAGATACAGAGACCCACAGCAAAACATTAGGCCAAGTTCAGGTAATCCTGCTGAATAGAGACAGGATGGATAGTAGGAGACTGAGGGGTCAATGATATTATAAGAAAACACACAGTATCAACTAGACTGGGCTCATAGTGGCTCACAGAGATTGAAGCAAAAACCTCAAAGCCTAATGGGGACTTACCTAGGCCCTCTGAATACCTGTGACAGATGTATTTCTTGGTCTTCTTGTGAGACTCCTAACAGAGGGAGCAGGGACTGTCTTTGACTCTTTTTTTTTGATTTTGAGTTTTAGCTTTGATAATAAAAATAATATCAGAAGACACTAACCACACTGCTGCCAAGGGAGTCCTATCCAGTTGTAGGGCCTATTAACCACAACAGTGTCCTTCCTGGCAATATATTCCTAAAAGAATAATGGTTGTCATACATGAGCAATCTAATTGGGCTTAAAGCCTGTTCAATGCATTGGAAATTTTAACTGGTACTGGAATATACCAAAGTATCCAGGACTAGTGAGATCTTGGATATTAGAAAAGATCCTTCTATCACTTTACTCAACCATCATAATTTGTAACTGCATTTCAAACTTATCATTATACTTATACATAAATATAGCTCCAATCCCTCATCAAGCATACCTTTATATGCAGAAGATAGAGACCTTTATAGAAAAGCACAACTGATCAATATACATAGACCAACTCATCTCATACCCATTGCCCAGACTCAATGACTACATCTACAATACAACATCTGTACCTAATGCTCACAAACATAGTGCAAAAGGATGTAGAATGATTATAAAAGCCAGAGAACCAAGAAGTCAGATCTGTGACATATATTAAGAAACTATTGCTTTGCCTGATAGCTCATAGACTTCTGACACATACAATCTTTCTGTATCTTCTAGTAAAAACCCAGTGCTAGGAATGTGTTATGTCTCAAGACTGCTAGCCTGGAAGACCTCCTAAAAGTAGGGGTTGGTGTCATTGTTCTTGGTTGCCCAACAGAATTTATAGAAAGACACTATTGCTGAAGGCATTACACATTTGAGACCTAGGAAGATAAATCAAGCTCTTTCTGATCTAGAAGATATGACTTTCGGCAAGCTTACATAGTTCCAGAAGTTGCAATGTATCCTGCTGAGGGAAAACAGTAATCAACAGTCTTGCGCAGTTGTGAACCCTGGGGACTACAATACCGACAAGCCGGGCAAGATAATGGCCACAAACACAAAAGTGACAAGACTGAGATGAGGGTACAATAATGACTTCTTAGAGAATTTATGACACTCCTCAAAAGAGGAAACTGTTTTCTGCTGATGGAAAACTAACCAGGAAGCCCTGGTAAGGAAGTTCATACATCTTAGAGGAAAATCTATTATTCTGATTTTGCTAAATGGATATATGTACAAAGTGTTTCTAAATAATATCACTACAACTAGATATTACCTTGGTTCTCACTCCTCATCAAAAAGGCTTATTTATGTAGTGAATAACAGTGAATATTGAAACTTACAATTAGTCAAAGTGAAAAGAATATTTTTTGAATTCTCAGTTATAAATGGGAGATTAGATAGATAGATGATAGATAGATAGATAGATAGATAGATAGATACATACATACATACATACATACATACATACATACATACATATATCACACCCTATCCCAAAGTTTCAGGAACAGCAGACAGAAAAGAAAGACTAGTCACTCCAATTACTGATGAAATAATAGGTGCCACGTACAATAGTCTATATCTTTATCTTCTGTAATTATAAACATTTATTAAAATATTTAATTTGGTATCTACTTCCTTAAATGTTTGACTAAAAAATGACTCACATATAAAAAGCTGTACTTCATTGACTAAAGAATGACTCACAAATAAAAAGCCATACTTGATAGGCATTGCATTGAATCTGTAGATTGCTTTATGTAAAATTGCCATTTTTACTATGTTAATTCTACCTACCCAGGAGCATGGGAGATATTTCCACTTTCTGGTGTATCCTTCAATTTTTTTTCTTCAAAGAATTAAAGTTCTT